GTGTGTCTTGTGAGAGGAGAGCCCACGCGAATAAATCCGAGCGCTTTTCAATCTGGCAGCCCTGCAAACGTGCGCTTTTAGAAAGCGAGGCCCCCAAACGCACACAAATAAAACGTAACACAAATTAATGTAACACTTGAGGGTACAGGAAGAGTTCCAGTAGCCCCGAAACACGCGCCACATTGCGCTCTAATCTTGTCTCTGTAGCGTAGAGTCGAGTCTACGTGGCACGAGCAGTCTTTTCGTTCAAGAAACCCAGCTTCCGAAACACATGGCTAGCTCTCTAAATTAGGGCCCCGTTTTCGGTCCCCCAAATTCTACGGCACTCTTAAACGGACCCTCAAAGGGACCCTCCCAAACCCTAAACCCTAAACCCTAAAAAGGACCCGAAAAGGGACCCTCCGAAACCCTAAGCCCTAAAAGGACCCTAACAGGGACCCTCACCTTAAACCCTAAAAGGACCCTAAAAAGGGACCCTACTTTTTGAGAAGTATCCTAAACCCTAAACCCCAAAAAAGGACCCCAAAATGGACCTTACTTTTAAAAAACCCTAAAAGACCCAAAAAGGGACCCTACTTCAGAAAAGTACCCTAAACCCTAAACCCTAAACCCTAAACCCTAAACCCTAAACCCTACTCTCTAAACCCTAAAGAGGAGCCTACTTTAGAAAAGTACCCACCTACGGCTCCCGACTCTGAAGTCTCATGCCGCGCCGCAGCCGGCCTACCCAGGACGTACTTGTCGACATAATACTCCTGTTTAGGGCTTAGAGATTATAAGGGGTGTAGGGTTTAGGGGGTTTACAGGGTTTATAGGGCTTATAAGGGGTTCAGGGGGTTTAGGGCTTATGGGGTTTATGGGGTGTAGGGTTTAGAGATTAGGGGGTTTAGAGTTTAGGGGGTTTATATGGTTTATAGGGTTTAGAGCTTAGGGGGTTTAGGGTTATAGGGCTTATAGGGTTTATAGGGCTTATAGGGTTTAAAGGGTTTAGGGTTGAGTGTTTAGAGTTTAGGGGGTGTAGGGTTTATAGGGTTTAGGATTTAGGGTTTATTCGGTTTAGGGTTTATAGGGAAATAGGAGGTTCATAGGGTTTAGGGTTTATAGGATTTATGGGGTTTAGGGCTTAGAAGGTTTAAGGTTATAGGGTTTAGGGTTTATACGGTTTAGGGTTTATAGGGAAATAGGGGGTTCATAGGGTTTAGGGTTTATAGGGTCCGGGTTTAGGGCTCATAGGGTTTAGGGCTTGTAGGGTTTAGGGTTTGCCAGTTCATATCTCGAGTCTGGGGGGGCGGGGTTCAACACGCTTGTCCAGTGCCCTAGGGGATTCAAAGGTTTAGGGTTTAGGATTAGGGTTTAGGGTTTAGGATTTAGGATTAGGGTTTAGGGTTTAGGGTTTAGGGTTTAGGGTTTAGGGTTTAAGCTTTGGGCCTATGAAGGGATTACTTGGAGGGTCGGGGGACTTAGTAAAGTGCTATTTTACAGACTTATAAGTACTATAACCCCAATCAGGGTCCCTTTTAGGGTACTTGTGAGTGTACTTATTACCTACTTACTACGTCTCCCGACCCTCTAAGTATAGTACCCCACAAAGGTTAAAGGCTACCTACTCTACTACTAGGTTGAATCCCAACCTCACGCAGCAAGGTCTGGCTGTCAATAGCTTTAGGGTTTACGGTTTAGGATTTAGGATGAGGGTTTAGGGTTTGGAGCCTTAAGATTTAGGCTTTACTGTTTAGGAGTCAAGGTTTTCAGGCTTAGGGTTCAGGTGTGTAGAGTTACCAGTAGGGTTTATGTTGTCCAGGTGCCGGGTTCAGCTCTACGATGCGAGCTCTGCGATTCGCATGTACCAGCCAGGGCTAATGAAATGCTCCTCCCAAATAAGGCTTGTCAGCCTGCCTGCACCCTTAATAAGGCTGCTTTGTTATGAATTCCTTACAAAAAAATCTCTGGAAAGTGTTATTCAAGGTCCAGGTGAGGCTTTCTGTTCAGGGTTTGGGCTTTGAGTTGAAGTTGAGGGGGCTATAGGGTTCATTTCCTGAAACCATCCCTAAAGCCTAAAGCCTAAACCCTAAACCCTAAACCCTAAACCCTAAACCTTAAACCCTAAACCCTAAACCCTAAACCGTTCCTGAAACCGTCCCTTGAAAGCCTCAACAGCCGAAGTCAGCTCAAGGTGATTTTTGCCGGACCCTTGCCTCCACCTTCGTTACCCTAGTATCAAACCCATAAACCCCAGTCAGTCACCTGGCCCATGAACCCGTTACAAAGCCTGATTAGGGTTTAGGGTTTAGGGTTTAGGGTTTAGGGTTTAGGGTTTAGGATACTTTTCCAGGATGCGTGTAACCCCAGCCCACTCTCACAAAAGCCTTCTGCCTCTGCTCTCAATACGGGGCCCATTCAGTTCGTTCATGTAGGGGCCGTAATCATCAGAACAGGGTTTTCGGGTAGATTATACTATAACTATTTAGAAAAAGGAGCCACCAAAATACGGTTGATGATCTACATCCTGCATCACCCACAACAAGGAATATATCGTAATTCCTATAGTTTAGGGTCCTTCAGGGAATGCAGGATTTATATCACCAACCGTAGTATAGGAAATTATCTAGGCGCCTCCATATATGCCTAAACCCTAAATCCTAAACCCTGAACCCTAAACTCTAAACCCAAAGGACTTATAGCAATTCGTATAGAACCCTTTCATAACCAGTCTAAAGCCCTAACCCCCAAATAGCAAATTACCTTACCTTAAGGACCCTAAACTATGGCAATTATGGTATATTCCTTACGACATGACGGGTATAATGCAGGATGTATGTCATCAACCGCCTCAAGAATGGTTGGGTTTTTACTCCGCGTAGTTCTCAGAGCCTTATCAACCGCTTGACCGACCTGCGTCCTGACTCGAAAGAAAGGGCCAAGGTGCAACCCTAAGCCCTAAACCTTTAACCCTAAATCCTCTTTAGCCCTAAACCCGAAACCTTAAACCCTAGACCTTTAACCCTAAATCCTAAAAAATCCTACACCCTAAACCTGAAATCCTAAACCCTAAACCTTGAAGCCTAAATCCTTTACACCCTAAGCCCTAAACCTTAAACCCTAAACCCTAAACCCTAAAGCCTCAAAAACCCCAAACACTGAACCTGAAACCCTAAACCCGAGGCCCTATGCCCAGGTAGGTCTCTGACGCGGTCGCCCTTGTAACGTCGGTCCAGGTAGGCGAGCCTGACAGTCTTTAGGGTTTAGGGTTTAAGGTTTAGGGTTTAGGGTTTAAGGTTTAGGGTTTAGGGTTTAGGGTTTAAGGTCAGGCCTACCTGTAACCGAAAAGAAACACTTTTCAGGGTTCCTTACTATGGTTTCTATAGATAGTTCCTTAAAGATGTAGGTCTTTTTGGCTACAGGTAAACCCTAAACCCTGAACCTTTTCCTCTTATGGTAGGATTCTATGATTCCCCCAAGAGAGGTTGAAGGTTAGCTACCCGGCTATTAAAATTAGCCGTTCAGGGTGTTACGGTTTTGGGGATCTGGGGAGCTTAAAGGGGGGTTTAGGGTTTCAGAGGTCGGTGTCAAGGCTTTTGGGTAAAGGTTTTAAGGTTGACCTGGACCCTGAAGGCCCTACCTTTTTAATAGGGCTCCTTAGGGTTTAGGGTTTAGGGTTTAGGGTTTAGGGTTTAGGGTATCTTGATTTCCTTATAAAAAAGACCCTACCTGTTCGGTTTTCCTTATAATGGTTTCCGTATATAAAGTCCTTAAGAAGGTAGGTTCCGTAGGATCTAGGTAGGGTCTAGAGTCTAGAGCTTTCAGGGTCGGGGGCTAGGGGGTCTCTAGACTTGACGGCCTCTCTTACTTGCCCCCCAATAAGCCAGGGAAATAAAAGGCTAAACTTTCAGGTTACTACTAAGTTATAAGAACCCAAAAAGTTTAAAAGGCTGGGTATTGGAGAACATGGAGAACTACGTTCTGTTGAGGAGGGGCTTCGGGGGTCGGAGAGGGCTCTGCATAATGTAGGGGCCTTCAAAATTTTCATAGGGTTTTGGGGTGCCTCTAAAGGGCTCCATACAGGGTTCTATAAAGATAACTTTAAGGCTTAGGGTTTAGGGGCCTGAATAATTTTCAATAGGGTCTGGGGGCTCCTTCGTAGTAGTATCATTACAATAAGGAACCTTAGCAGTAAGTCATTATTTAGGCTTCTGTATTAGGGCTCTCATAAGGCTCTGTGAGGGCTTTTCAGGCTGTATAGGTTTAGGTTTGTAGGATTTAGAGTTCAGACCTCTCGATGCTGAAGTTAAGGATCAGGAATTTGAGGTTACGGCAAGTTTCAGCAGTAGGTTTTTTGGGGTTGAGGGTGAACCTCGACCCTACGATGCCCGTCCGCTTGCAATCTTACACGCCAAAGCCTCCACAACCTGGTCACTGGACCAAAAGGTTGTGGCCTTCTTTCTGGCACCGCCGTAGACGCATGAATCAAAAGTGGCAAAGTGCACAGTGCCCCTCAAGGAGCGCCACAAGGCTATCATTGGCGTGGTCAGCCAGAACACACTGGACTGAGGGTTCTCCACAGACCATGCTATATCAGCGTGGGCACACGCTGCAATGACGTCTGCTGTGAACTGATACAGTCTGTTTGCAGCACCGACTTGTTGTCTGTGTCTGAAGGCAAGGTTTGGCAGGCCATCTGGGTGCTCAAATGAGCGAAGTTGCGGCGGGGACCCCGGGAGTAGATCATCCTGGCAGCACTTCTTGGTGCCACAGGGCGGAGCCAGATGTACTGCCGCAAACGTGCTGGACTTCAACAAGTCTAGCACCCACTTCTGACTGTGAGGCTTGGTCAGGTCAAGTGTCAGGGAGGGCACGCCTGAGGGGAGAGGACTGCTTCGATGGCCGATGGCCAACACCTGCAGACCTTGGCAAGCCAAGGCTTTGGCCATGCGACCGGTGCTAGAGACAATTTCCAAATGCACAGGTCACAACCCCAGAAGGTACCTTAACCTACCAGAACCTACTTTTTTGTAGGGTCCCTGTAACTCCATATGAGGGTTTAGCATATGCACCTGCATAAAAAGGTCGGTTTTGGTGGACTAAGGTAGGAATGGTACAGCACTGGACTCCGTGTTCGAGGTTCCGGATCTTCGGGTTAGGGTTTAGGGTTTAGGGTTTAGGGTTTAGGGTTTAGGGTTTAGGGTTTAGGGTTTAGGGTTTAGGGTTTACGCAAGGCACAGCGATTGAAAGCAAGCCGTGCGGGCACATCAAT